CCCCGAACGGCGTGATGAATGCTGTCTTCTCGTCGTCCTCTTTCGCCATGCTGATTTGGTGGTAACCGGAGTAAGCGTCGAGAAAGCTCAACAACTCACAAACCGGCTGTTGAGTCCACCAGTTGGTCTATTTGAGGAAGAGGGAAGTGATCCTTGGGACACGCCTTGTTGAGGTCGATGAAATCGACACACATTATCCATTTCCCATTGGCCTTCCACACCATGACTGGGTTGGCTAGCCACTCTGGATGGAGTACCTCTCTGATAAAACCGGCTTTGAGAAGTTTGTCAAGTTCTTCTTGTATGGCTTGTTTTCGATCTGGTGCAAATCTCCGCAGTTTTTGCTTTACTGGCTTGGCATCGGGTCGCACCATGAGTTTGTGCTCAATCACCTCCCTGGGTACCCCCGGCATGTCGGACGGCTGCCAAGCGAACACGTCAGCATTTGTCGCGGAGGAAGGTGATAAGCGCGAGTTCCTATTTCTCGCCTAGTGATGCCCCGATCTTGACGGTCTTGTCGGGGTTGGCACTGGAGAGTGGAACGATCTTGATTGCGCCGTCCGGTTTCGGCGTCTTGTTTGTTTTGCTCACTTTCTTGGGTGGCTCAGCTGTGGCGGGTGGGCTGGGCGTGTGCTCGACCATGTCAAGGCTCCGCTTGTCGCATTGTATTGCCAGCTTAGTATTCCCTAGAATAGTGATTGTTCCCTTCGGTCCTGGCATCTTGAGCACTTGATACGTGTAGTGAGATGCGGCCATGAACTTCGCAAGTGCAATTCTCCCAATGATGGCATTGTATGCTGTATCGAATTCAGCGACATCAAAGGTGATCTGTTCCGTTCGGAAGTTATTTGCTTGGCCGAAAGTCACAGGCAACGTAATTTTGCCCAATGGTTTGGACGATGACTGAGGAGTGATTCCATGGAAGGGTTGATCGGTGGGTGTCAACTTGCTTCGTGGGATCCCCATCGCGTCCAAGGCACTGGCGAAGAGAAGGTTGATTGAGCTGCCGCCGTCGATCAGAACTCGTGCGACCTTGATATTCCGAATAGTGGGTTCTACCACGATCAGATATCGCCCTGGGATGATAGCAGTCTTGGGGTGGTCCTCTTCTGAGAATACTATCTTCTGTTCGGACCACTTCATCTTGGGCGCAGCCTCCTGCCACATCGAACAGACTTCACGTTCCACCTTCTTGTATTCTCGCTTTGAGGAGTATGCCGTGGAACCTCCGAAGATGTGCGAAACATGGAGATCGGAGTCTGGATATGCTGATCGGAGTCTGGATATGCTGAGTCTGATTCCTGAGTAACCGCCTCAGCGTCCTTCTCGACCACACGTACTCGCTTGCCTTTTTCCAATGCCATGTGTTTTGCGAGCGACTTTTTGAAGACGAGGCAATCTTCTAGAGAGTGTCTATCTGACTTGTGTATAGGGCACCATATTTTCTTCGCGTCGCTGCCTTGTGGGTCTGGGCGCTTGGGAGGGTCCACGTATTCTGTTGCGAGAACTTCCGCTTGAGCCTTCCTTTTCCCACTCTTGCGATTTTTCTTCTTACTTGACTCAGGTGCGTCCTTGGCTGGTTTCTTCTCTCCTCTGGTCTTCGGTTTGTCGTTCTTGCGTCTCAGTGCGTCGTCAGCATGAGCGCATCGATCGACAATTTCGAATAATCTCCAAGTAGTCGTGACGTGCCTCATTGCCAACTCCTGAGTAGTATAGCAATCTCTGACACCGGACTTGAAAGCGCGAATTACAGAAGCGTCGGTGATTTCGGGGATTGTATTTCTGCACTCATTAAAGTGTCGAACATAATCCCTCAAGGATTCACCCGGGTTCTATGTCAACGCATGTAGGTCGTCTTCGATCGCGTGGCGCTTGTAAGTTCCTTGGAAGTTGGTGACGAATTGCTGCCACAGGTCTGCCCACGAAGAAATCGAGTAGGGGGGAGATGCATCAGCCATGAACGTGCAGAGCCTTTCAATGCAGTTGGCAAGTAATTCGCCAATGCGTTGTCGTCCGCTCCGGCAGCGTAGAGTACCGTGGAGTAAACCTGAAGGAATTCTTCTGGGTCGGTGCTCCCATCGTATTTCTCTATTGCTCGAGGTCGGAATCTTTCAGGCCATCGGACATCTCGAAGTGAACGACCGAAAGCTCTACACCCGGCGCTGGGGGCGGTGGGTTGTCGGCGATCATACGTCCTTCGTGGATGTCTATCTGATGATGAGGATGAGGAAGATGACGACGATGACGATGGGTCGCTCGGTTCCGGCGTGCGGTTACGAGGACGTCGGCCGGGTTCTAGAGACCCTTGTTGTCGTCGCCCGTTGTTGTCTCGGCGCCGATCTCCATCATCGTCGTCATTATGGCGACGTCCTCGACCAGTATCGCCCAGCACCCTCCGTTCGCGATCGTCGTGATCGCGGCGGTTGTGACGGTTATCATGGCCTCGGTCTTCGCTCGAACGGCCTCCTCGATCTTCGTTATCGTGACGCCGTGAAGAGACGCGATGTCGAGAATGGTTCTCGTTGTCTCGTGTGCGTCGCACCTCTCGGCGGCCATTCAGGTGATCGCGGAGATCACCGGTGCCGCGAGGTGGAGGGGTGGCTCGATGAGGCGATTCCCGGTGTTCAGGATTTTCACCATTAGCATCGCCAGTTGGTGGCTGTTCCGGGTGTGCTGCAGCAGCGGCCTCTTCGAACGCGTTGCTGAGGTTGGTCACTGACTCCCGTAACCGTTCTGTCCATCGTGCGAGATCGTTGTTCAGAACGGGGTCGTAGGGAGTTTCCCTCAATATTTCGTTGACGGCTCTGATATGCTGGGCCGGTGTAGTCACTTGATTCTCCGCTTCCGAATTGGTGCGTGCTGACGTGCCGACATCGTCAATAGCCAATACCTCACGCGGCATACTCGTTGTCGATGAACCATAGTCTTCGAGCAGGTGCAAGACTGATGGTTCGTGGGGATCGATGTCGATTACCCCAACAAATCGATCTGAAATCGGCGTCGCTCCTTGTTCCTTGTCCTCATCCCTGAGGGGGATGCGTGACTGCTGGACCTTAGGAGGTGGCATCTTCATGGCGCTGAGAAAGACCTTGCAGCTCGAGAGGTCGTGATTCTTTGTCTTGTGAATAGGACAATAGACATCACGAGTTGGAGAGGTACGCTGAATTCCACACTCTTTGCATGCACGAATTTCAGCATAGACGTTGAGAAAAACCCAGCAGGCTTGCAAGGTGTGTTTTCTGGTTTTGTGGATAGGACACCAGGACCTTGTCACCTCGGAAGTAATCCTCGTCGGCTCGTGATTCCTGTCGGAAAGACAAGGCTTGGCCGCACTAGGATCCTTCTCGGGCTCGGATGTCGTCGACGTTCCGATCTCTGCTTCGGCGGGAGGATCCTTCGACATGGAGTCGTCCCGGGTTGTAGCCACTGCGTTCTCATTTTCGGCCATTGGCGGACCAGCTGAGATCAGCACTGTGGTGTAAACCGGAAAGACGATTTCACCGACTTGAGTCCACACCAGTGTTGTTGAAGTAGGAACTCCTTGGTTGAGGTTGGTGTTGACGCTGTTGTCGACGAAGCTAGATGTCATAGTAGTAGAACCTTGAGCACCAAGTCCCCCTACCTGGCGCGCCACTGTCGACGGGGGATACCCGTAGACCGGATATAGAGGGTATTGGGGTACGCTGGTACGAGGATCTACGTAATACGACATCAAGCAGGCAGAAAACAAAGATTATACTGGTTCAGGCCCCTTGATAGGTCATAGCCCTAATCCAGTTGATATGGGATTATATGATGGAAACCACAGATTACAAAAGGAATAATGGAACTCGACGATACCGACGAGATCGTAGCCGAGTTGATTCGACTAGATCACCCGGCGACTTGGTTCCTGTAAGCTCCGGCTTCGTAGGCTGTGGTGGATGTGTTGGCGGTAAGATTCGATGCCTTAGTTCCTCCCGGGGGGTTCCTTTTATACCGCAGGTCAACTGGTCTCCAAGTAGGACTCGGAGACGTCGGACCCGACATGATACAATGACGACCCAGTTCTATCCGAGTAGGACTCCTTACATCTGTGGACTCCATAATGTAATTCCTTAACTTATGCCGAAAACGTCCGTATACGCGCAAGCATACCATATCGATATGTGACGCATATCGAAGGGTAGAGGGTATACCTCACCCATAACCCTAACATATGCCTCATGGCTTTGGTGTAAGGAGAAGTGCACAACGAGGGAGATATGCTGCTAGTGTAAGTCACCACGGTTACTGCAATATAATCGCCACCGCTACCATCGTTGTCATGCAGCTAGGGGTCATGAATGCTTGTGTGGAATATGGTCGCTATTGTAGACGAAAAATTCGTCATCGTCAGATGTGGATGCTGCTGCTGTTGTTGGACTCACTACCACCAGCTTTCTGCATAGGTTTGGCAAGGGGAATGTGCAACACATCCTAAGGGTTCAGGAGAGCTAGTATTGATTTATTCGATCCTAAGAGCATTTTAGTTATTTGATAAAAAATCTTTATCCAGAACAATTGGGAATGATAAACAGTGGGTGTGTTTTTCAACATAAAAAACCACATTCGATCTCCAGTTTGGGGATGGATTTTTGTTGCATGTAAAACGAGTTTTACAAGAAACCTCGTTGCACATGATTAAAAAGCGTGCTAATGGAAAACGACAAAGTTAAAGTTTGGAGTTGAGGAATAGGGTGCTGTTTGGGGGTTCTGCAGCTTCTCCCACAATTAGAAACTATAATTGTAGTTGTAGTTGTAGTCCAGTTTTTATCTAGATTATGAAAAGCTGTAGTTGTAGAATCCAGAAAATGAACTAGAAACTAAAAGCTGGATTCCAGATTCTTAGAAGCTGACTATTTGCCAGCTGTTTCTCATAATCTTAAACTCATCCAAACAGGTGAGCTAGGCCTAATGCTGTGTTCATTTGTTCGATTGGGATGAAATCTTCGTACGCAAGCAAAACGAGAAAGATCATTAGCGCATAATTAGCTAAGAATTAGCTAGTACTATGGAAAATGAGGAATTTGATCCCCATTGCATAGCGAAAACATTAAAAAAGAAAAGAAAAACGTTTGGCTCTAAACTCCGCTCTTTGATTGGAGCGGGTGTCACTACGTGCTTTGATTTGGGGGGGAATGGATGACTCCGGCAGCAGCTCGCCGCCGGCGCCGGCGCCCTCCTTCCGCAACAGGTACTGGATCCTCCGCCATGGCCGCAGCGTCCCCAACGAGCGCGGCATCATCGTCTCCTCCCTGGTACCGATCCGTGCATCCCACCTCGCTGTCTTCACCCTTCTTCAATTTCTTGCCTCCAAGAACTTCGTGTCCAGTTAGCAGTTTAGTTTGATTCGGATCTTTCCTTCTAACTGCTCCAATCCTCGCAGGAGAACGGCACGAAGCCGGAGTTTGGGCTGGCGCCGCAGGGCGTCGAGCAGGCGCGCTTGGCCGGCGAATCGCTCCGTAAGGTATCCGATTTGGTGTGCATTAGTCGTGTCTCCATGAGCTCTTGGAGAGGATGTGCCATAGTGATTTTGGGGGACTGATTGCGTGCAGGAGCTTGAGGAATTGGGTGTGCCACTGGATTCTGTTCAGATCCGATATTCCCCATTCTCACGGACCATGGAGACTGCCAGAGAGGTTGCTAGAGTGCTTGGTGTCCCCTTTGATACTCCCAGCTGCATTGTGAGTGGTTTGGTCCTGCATATAAAATCTGTCACTGTTTATTGTGCAGTTATTTGTGAGCATAGATATTCTAACGTTTAGGAACAAGTAATTTCGCATGGAATTTATTCGAGTTGTAACTTGTAACTTTCCCTATAGGCTTTGGATTCTTTTATCTATGATAATCATGAATGTGTAGTAAGATTTTATAATTAGTTACTGATTTATTGTCCAACTTGCGTGCATAAAGATTGAAAAAGGGCCAGGCCGCAGACAATTTTGTATGGAAGGATGAAAAAAGACATGCAACTGATATTTCCATGTGTGATATTTAAAATGTGATACTTCCCAGGAGTACCTGCTTCTGTTCGCTGGAGTTAAGTGATGCGCTGGCACTTCTTAGTTCTTATTAATGCAAAAGTTAAAATGAACAAATGTAGTCTTTTGTTTAATTCACTCTAAACAATTATGCAATTCTTTGTTTTCCCTTTTTTTCCCTGGGCATGTTTACATAAGTCATAGTAAACCCTGTTTAAACTTGTCATTCTTTAGAACAAGTTTACAGCTAGCAAGACCTGTAAATAATCTGGTAGGAGAGAAGACCTGTGAACCTAACAGAGGCATGCCAACTAACTTCTACCATTCAATAACTATAATCATCCCCTTCAAATGTATGATTTACAAATTTGAAATGTATTAACTCCAAAACATTGTCCAATTTTTTTGCTTTGCCAAATGTTTGTTTCCTGAGCTATTCAAACGTGAAAAGCAGTGTGGAGTTTCCTTTTGAAACACCTTTTACATTTCTATTCTGCTTTCTTAAGGTAATAATAATTTCTTTGCAGCCAGCTGTTGAACTTCGGGAACGCTATTTTGGGCCATCGCATGAATTGCTTTCACATGAGAAGGTGTGTTTTGCTGATCTATCAAACTGTGCAGACTCTAATTCGATATATAAATAAACAACTAAGCATACTTACAGTTGGTGGTACAAACTGAGACCTATTTTAACTAATAGCACTGGCATGATTTTTTTTTAAAAAAATACAGGAACTCATTTGAATCAGAATAATTTTCCTTCCTCATTATATTAGCTGTAATTTTTGCGAAATGCCATCTTCTAACGAACAGAACAAGAAATGCCCAGACTTTCTTTCCCATGTTTGTCTGAGCAGAACAAGAAAAAGCCCGATATTCTCGAATTTCTTTGTGTTCTTTTATCTTATTGAAGCTAATGACAAAAGTTAGGGAACTTTCATGAAGCTCTAAGCAATTTTTCCCAAAAGAATGATTTTAGAAACAAGCCCTCCTTGTTTGTCTTATTCAAACTAACTCCAAAATTTAGCGGTTTTCACAGACCGAGCTTGTCATATGAAGCTATAAGAAATTGTGCAAAAACATGTTATGTAACAAATACATCCTCCATTAAAAGAATAAAAAAATTACATCTATTAAAATTGATGAAAAGATCATTCTTGTTGTAAGCAAAGAAATGGTGGCTGACTTCTTCCAAGCCAATTTTCAAATTATAGTTCTCTAATCTGTTGTTATTAACTGAGCCTTTCTACGGATATTCGAGGATTGATTGCCTCTGTGGTCTGTACCACTAGAAAGAGGTTCAATTGTTACATTGTCATTGCAAAAAAGTCTAATTATCCTTTTCAGATGAATATAATTTATTTACCACGTTTGACATGAACATCAATCTCTATTATTAAAGAAGTGAACCTAATGGTGGTAATAGTGAATCTGCCACCTGCGAGCATGTCATTGGCATTGGGCCATGAGAACGAGGCCCAAGGTACCGGTTGAGGAAATGCTATCCCATCCTCACCTCGTACACACACGGTAGCTCAGTGGGTTAGAGTCGGTTGGATAAGATTAGTTTGGGTCCTTCCCTCCATTTATATAAGGATGGATTGTATCATCATTTGGATTAAGCAACTAATATCAATTAGTCTAATCTCTCTCCCCACGTTCTTCTTCCCAGTCTAATTCCCCTCGTCCCTAACAGCCGACTCCGCCCAGCTATCCTCCCGGCAGTGGTTATCTTATCTCGTCATGGCTTCGGGTCCGTCACAGAGCACCTCTGGAACTTCTGGATCTTTTAAGTACAATTTGATATTTGTGCATGTGGTTTTTAATAATGTAGCTATGGAATTATGTTAGATTGCAAATTACATATGATTTCTTATAATGATAAGTAATGATTCATCCAGCAGAGACTACCACAAATCAGTGGGTCTACTGTTAGTGGCAACACGCAAGGTTGCAACCCACCACAAATCTATTCATCCTCACATGCGGGAAACAGATGTTTCATCTCTTTTTCACGATTACAGAATGAACAAGAAGAAAAACAAGGCCATTTCCTTCTTTTCAGCTCAGTTTTTGTTGGACACTAAAATGAATCATAATAAGATCTTAATCTCCAGAAGGAGTTTTTCTTTCCAAATAAATGGCAATATGGTCCCTAACTGCATTACTGGTCATGCATATCTATTTCAGAGGTTTTAGCTTTTCCAAAATCCCACACGTCCACACCACATAAGCACATGTTCATCTTTTTCACATTCTTATGATCTTATCTTTTATTTAACTTACTAAGTCTGATATGATGTGCTAGTATGCAGAAGTATGGGCAGTAGATGAAGTAGATCCCTTAATGGCACCAGATGGTGGCGAGAGCGTTGCAGATGTTGCTACTAGATTCTCTCAATTCCTGTCTGCTGCAGAAATGGAGCTTCATGGGTACTTCAACTCAAATATTGAAATTTGGAATATATCTATTTTTCAAGTTTGATATTTGCTTTTTGCTGCGTTATCGCCATACCTATATGGACATTTCAGCTTCTAAAATTGGGTCTAGGCGTAGCCCTTCTATATGAAGACCCACGTATGCAGAGAACCATGCTTACAGTTTTGCCCTTATGTGATTAAAAAAAATCTCATTGTAATAACAAGCGTTGACTCCGTAGATCATTGTAAACTGTAAATGCCTTGACAACCCAGTAACCCACTAGTAATGATTATGGATATAATACATTCTTCTTCCTAGAATAAACATCAAATTTACTACCATGCCTCAGGGCACGCACATAAACTATTTGGGATATCTGTTGATTTTGTTCTGCTGTGTGTACAAATGTTAGAACAGATGCTCTATATTACATAGAAAAAATTAGGCTATTTTGGGTTAAACAAGTAACTGTAATGAATAATTTCTAGGGTAAATTTATTGATGTTTAATTTATCATAATGAGTCAACTCTTGATGAAAATAGGGGGAAAGATAGCACTGGACTTACATAAAACTTGTCACATGCTAACATGCTAGGATTGGATAGCCGTAGACATGAGAAGCCTGAAAATGCAGATGATCAGTAGCCTCACCACAAGGGTAGAGGAAAGATAGACTATAGGGTCTTTGATTTCTTCTTTCTTAGTTCTACACATACGCATGTCCGTATATAGATGACACTAATATGTTGCTGCCTCCTCCATGCAACTGCTGTCCCTCGCCGTGCTAGTTCCCGTTTCTCAGCGTGCTCAGCCATGACCAAAATCCTCTAGGCCATATCACTTGGTTGAACATATGAACTATGAAGGCATAATGTTGAATCACAATAGGGCTTACATTTTGTTACAGGACTTTTCAACTAGTAACAGTATTCAGGAGTCGATTGCACACAATGACTAATAACTGTCCAGCCATGGCCCAGACTAAATAAAAAGAGTCTCATCATATAAGGAGCATAGATATGCAGAAATAGGAGTCTCTCCTATATGTATTGCTGCCTTGGCAAGTTATCCCGTCCTTGGATTTTGGAGTCCTAATAATTTGTTTACAAGCTTGAGGAGGGGTGCCCATAGCTCTCGTAGACATGAGTACTATTCCTGGCACAATAGAACAACTAAATTAGACATAATCACCATTGTTCCACATCCAGTTGCTGCTTAGTATTTTTTTCAACACACATTTCCATATACTGTGTTAGGGAGTATTATGTGGAGTTGACTTGTATGTTCAATTCCATGCAGCTCTGCAATTCTTATTGTCAGTCATGGGGACCCACTACAGATCTTTCAAGCAGTACTCAAAGAAACAAAGGAGAACCCTTCTTCCCTTGATGAGGTAAGTGACCTTAAAAAGAGAGGCATGATAACACTATCCGTGTTGTCACAGCACCGTCAGTTCGCACTCCTCACTGGGGAGCTGCGCCGACTTGTGTGACTTGCTGCAGATATGATTTTATGTTTTTATTTAGTAGACAATTAATTTATGAAGTAGCAAAATTCAGTTGGGTGTATTTTTTTACAACTCGGCAGTGATCCAACAGCAGAAGGATGTTTATTTTGCCCATAAAATATTCTGTTCTTTAGTTGGAATCATTGTGTTACTGTTACCCCAGTTCTTCTATTCTTTAACCAATGCATAGATTTCCTGGTTCTGCATCCGACTGGCCATAGGCTGCAATTGGACTGGCTATGGCTAACAGCCTGATATGCTAGTAGTAACCTTCACCATCCAGGCTGATCTTGGTTCCCACATTCTCAATTTTGCCGATCCAGTTGTGTGGTTGCGTCACAATTTGGTGACTGCTTTTTATGCTAGTTGGAGTCTGATGTTCTTTAAGCAAATGGGTGTTTGTTGAAAGGGTCACTTAGGCCTATAGTGTGGGGTTAATAGGCTAAATTAAACTCAAGTAAATGCGGAAGCTGGAATTTCGGATATATCCGAAGGAGCTTCGGATATTTCCAAAAATAGCATAGCAGCGACAAACTCACTAGCAAAATGGATCTAGCTAGTCACAACCAAGAACATCAAGCTCAAACAAGCAAGCAAGCAAAGATAGTGGAAGGGAGAGGGAAAAGGATGTCACAGAAGTTCTTGCAAGATGAGTTGTTCCCGAAGTTCGAATCCTTGAGGGGATTCTAATCTTCGTTGAGGATCTCACAAAGAGCCGAGTCCCTTTCCTCGAGAGGTTACACAAAGCACTACTTCTTCCACTAGTGGTCTCTTATCTTTTGGAGGCAAGATCCAACTACGGGGTACACGGTACCTAGGTACCGAAGGTTAGGCGTTTGGGTTGTGTAGCATGGGGTGGGCGGACTAGGTTTAGGCCCATGCCGCATGATGTAATTTCGCAAGGGGATTAAAGATAAGAATACAAGTCTTATCTCATGTAAATAGGCGACATGTACCCAGATTATAAAGGATATCCTACTGACTTTAGTCAGCCTCCCCGGGTCTATATAGGAGCTGGAAACCCTAGCGCGGGTAATCCTTGGACACTACGTGCTACTCCATACGCCGTACCGCGCATACATCTATACAGATCCAATCTACTCTTCTGAGGGCCTGAACCTGTATAAACTCAGTGTCACCATCTCTCCTTGATCTAGTGCACCCTATAAATTTACTTGCTGATCTAGAGAATCGATACCAACCTTAACAAACTTCTCCTGGCCAACCACACGTAGATCGGTGGCTCAAGAATGACCTCGCTGTTTAGGAATCCTCGACCTCCAAGAGTAAAAGATGAAGCAAGAATATCCTAAGCAAGAAACAAGTGTTGAACAAATCTTCACGCAATCAACACCAAGCACTCACAAGAACTCAAATCCCTAACTCAAACACAGACACACAAAGTTTGGGCATAATAAAAAGAACAAGGCTCAAAGTGGATCTCGAGTGCAAAGCAAGCCAAGGGCATAATAAAAAGAGCAAGCCTTCACCGCGCTACCCAAGCCGTCGCCTCCTTCACCGCCTCTAGCCGTTCCCCACTGGCGAGAGAAGCCTCGCCCGGCCGTGCTGCCAGCACCAACGGCTTTGCCATGCCGTGCCGCGCCTCGGCCGCCTCTTCGCCTTCACCATCCACAGCCGGAGCCCTCTTCTTCCTGTCAAGGTCCATCCGGTGGCCGTCCGCCGCTTCGCACCCGCGAGATGCCGTGGAGCTGCCGCCGTTGTCCACACCCCGAGGAGCCCACCGTCACCGTTCCTCACCACCGAGCCCTCTTGGCCGCTGCCCCACGGTGAGCTCCCACTTTTCGATTTGTGTTTTCTCAGGTGCGGTGGTCCAATCGGCGAGATATCAGCGGTCAGACCGATGGCATCGACCCGGTTAGATCGGCGGCTCCATGGCGGTCAGACCGGTGGTGGCGACAAGCAACAACAGTACATCAGGCGGTTAGACCGGAACAACTACACCGGTCAGACCGACAGATCTACTCCGGTCAGATCGATCTCCATCAATAATAGGTTAACTTTTAATTTCGCTAAAAGTTTTGGATTTGGATACTTCAATCATTCACCTCCATTTTGGTTAGTTTAATTCTTGCCGTGCGATCTTACAAGTACCTGCAAGGGTAGGTAGGCGATCATGTTTTTGCGGAGTGCGTTCTTCACGTGACTGCTTTCGGCATTGTTTCATCTGCATCAGGCTATTCTTCCTCTTCGTCACCGGCAACGAAGGGAACAACGGCAATAGAGGAGAGAAAACTACAATGGCAACACGGCGACAAAACCAACAACACTGTCGCCTCCGGATTCGGAGCGTTCTCTAGGTATATTCTTCTCATCTCGGTGTTAAATGTGTTCTTAGATGCTATTGTTACTGGTAGCATATTCATGTGTACCACCATGGTAGAATCACTCTCTTTTTCACATGTCATGTTTATCACAAGTCATGTTTATTATGATTATATTTATGGATTAAAATATTTGGAATTATGACTATATTTCCAAAAACTTTTAGAAATCTCAGTCACCTATGGTTCCTATAAATGAAGCCTTTGTGCGGGTGCTTGCGTTTTTCTTCATTGCTTCCTACCGTTAGGAGATTTTCACCGTTTCAGGATTTTTCGGTTAATCCTCACAAGAAAGAGATCGGACAAGATCGAGGGGATTAAGTCCACGTCTTTTCTCTTAATTCTTTTCAAGTTTCTTAGGGGATTAACTGAACAAGGTTTCAAGGTTTCGGTGGAGCTGGACCCATGATAATCACAGAAAAAAAGTCACCGTCAATGCTTAGACATGCATGGCAGATAAAATATACGGAGTATATATCAGCACGGTATTATTGGACAATAAGAAACTGGTTACCCGATTGTAGCGTTGAAAATGCATAGTACATATACAGACAGATCCACAAGGTTCATGCAAGATATTCCCAGGTACACCTGATGATGGATACATATGCGCTGTGTTGGCACCAGATAAAATTCCCGCAAGAAAGAAAATATCTCAAAGATAGCTTTGTTCATGAAGTTGTGTTGAGCTCACAGTTCGCCAGCTGTGATCCGTGGCACTAGAAAATCTGCAATACTAGAATACAAAATGAATCATGACCACAATAAACTTCAAGTTGTAATAGCACGAGCCGACTAAATCTGAACCCATGGGACAAGAGATCTGACAATTTTCTTAATTAGAGGGATACATATGTGTTCCTTTTTTGGGCTATTTCACCGGATTATTTTACTTCACAACTCTAAAAAGGTAAAAAGTGTGTTTTCTTAAAAAATTGTATTATTTATGAGCAACTCTAACAGAGTGGTCAAATGACTCTCCAAGCCAAATTATATCCAACATAGGCAAAAAATGCCATCTGGTTATGCAACGAGGTCAGCTTGCTCCCAGTTGGGCTAGCCAGTTGATGTATGTGACATAGATAGCCTAGCGAAGGTGGTATTTGCCTGGGAGTAGTGGGCCACCGGAGCCAGCCCAAGAAGACCAGCCGAGGGGCGCTAGGCCGGTTGCTTGGCTAGCCAAGGGTTAAAACAAAGGAATAAGTTCATCTAAGGTCCCTTAACTTGTCAACAAATCCGATTTTCGTCCTTCAACCGCAAAACCAGATATAACAGGTACCTCAACTATCAAAACCGGTGCAGATTAGGTCCCTCGGCGGTTTAGATGGCGGTTTTGCCTGATGTGGCGCCTATGTGGCTAATTTGACTCGGTCTCGATCTGACGTGGTACCGATGTGGCGTTTACGTGGCAATTCAATCAAAAATAATAATAAACCTTGTGGGACCCACATGTCAGTTTTACAAAGAAATTAATAAAAAATGGTGGGGCCCACGCGGGCCCCACATGTCATTCTCAACCCCCTTCTTCCTCTCTCCCCATCCCCTCTCATCAACTCTCTCTCCCCTCTCCTCTCTCGCGACGGAGGCATGGCTCTGGCGACTGCGGGGGCCGGTGAAGAGGAGTTGGGCGTCGGTGCTCATGCCACCGCCTCCTCCATTGACCTCGCCGTCACCGGCGACCTCTCGCCCAATCCGCCGCCATGCCTCCGGTGGTGACCCACTAGCCCTGCTCGCTCCCATCCCCCATGGCTTCCGAGCGCCCGATGCCCGATGCCTCGCTGCTGCTGCCGACGTTGTCGCTTCTCCCGCCGACGTAGCCGGAGCCACCCATCCGTGCCGAACGCCTCGCATTCTCCCTCGAGGTGCCCGACCCCTTCCGCCGGGAGCCTGACCCGTCGGCCGTGTCACAGCGGGAGGTGGAGGAGGAGGAGGAGGAGGAGGGGGGCAGTGAGGAGGAGTCCCGCGCAGTTGTTGTCAGGGAGCCCTCCTCCGCGGCGCGCAGCGGCCGGGCGAGGAGAGGCGGCCCTCCTCTGTACCGTACTTATCTACTTATCATCTACGTGTACCGTGTTTATCCCATCTGTTTTCCCCTTTATTTCTTTACCGCTGAACTAATTTCCCAATCTCAAAAGGCAGGCAAAATTAGTTGAAACAGTGGCGGCGGCAACCCACTGATGAGCTCCGGCCCTCCGCAGATGGTGGACGAGCGCGCTTGGCTGGATGGTGGCGGAGCGAGCTGGAGAGGACGGCGGCCAGCCACCGCGAGCTTGTGTGGAAAGGAGGCTCGTTTTGCTTCTTCTTCATCCAACCCCCGTTCTTGTCTTTCTCTTTGTTGCTTGATTGTCTTCCCCTGGAATCGACATCAAAAAGGAATTTTTCTCACAGTTTTCCCGTGACCACTTACTGTGATCAATAGGAAAGGAAAATGGCGCCTTCAACACGCGGAAGCGGCGAGCCTTCTCGGTGGCGTCCTTGTACGTGCGCCCGTGCTCCGGCATGCTTCGGCCGCCGTTGTCGTCGGAGCTCGTAGGCGGCGGGAGTGAGGAAGAAGAGGGAGAGCCGAGAGGGGAGAGGGAATGACATGTGGGGCCCACGTGGGCCCCAGCATTTTTTTAAGCTGACATGTGGGCCCGTGGTTTTTATTATTTTTCGAGGTATAATTGCTACGTAAGCGCCACGTCAATGCCATGTCAGATCGAGACCGAGTCAAATTAGCCACGTAGGCGCCACGTCAGCCAAAACCGCCATCGAAACCACGAGTGACCTAATCTGCACCGGTTTTGATAGTTGAGGGACCTGTTGTATCTGGTTTTGGTGTTGAAGGACGAAAATCGGATTCATTGACAAGTTAAGGGACCTTAGATGAACTTATTCCTAAAACAAACCCAAGGCCCAGCCTCCAGCTAGGGTTGGCTACCCATGGCGGGCGCCGCCACCTCCACCACCCCCAGTCCAGCGGCCGTGCCCTCTTTCGTTCTTGCCGCCAGTCCAGCCGTCGTTGCCCTCGCGGTTGCCGCCGGCGTGGGCTTGGCCACCAGAGAAGTCATCGCCACCACCCTCACCATTGGAGAAGATCTGGCGTGCGCTGCCACCACCCCCACTGCCACCATCCCCACCAGGAGGGAAAGAGGAGCCGGGGCTGGCGCTTGCAACCAGCATCGTCGCTGTGAAGCTCGGGATGCGCAGCTCCTTCAGCAGGAGGGTATTGCGTGCCGATGTGAAGCTCGGGAGAACGGCCATGCCTACGATGTTATCAGCGGTGTTGGAGAAGTGATCGTTGAGGCATCGGAGAAGGTTGAGCACAAGTTAGGAGTTGGAGACGGCGTGGTCGATGTCGCGAAGGGCGTCGGTAGCGGTCTTCATCTTCTGCAGTAATCGGTAATGGAGGAGTCGCCTTGAATCATGGAGTGAAATTGGTGCTGAGGAAGATTGCTCAGCGTTCTTTGTTAGCTCGGAACATGTCTTCCATGGCGACCCAAAGCTCTTGAGCGGTCTGATCCTGCTCCATGGCGAGGTCAAGGACGGTGTCGGCGACTGATCCAAAGATCCAGCTACAGATGCAACAGTCAGCCTGTTTCTAGCTACGAAGGTAAGAGCCTAAACTCGAATACCATGTAGAAGAAGTGGAATAGATGCCTCACACACAATGTGGGGAGGTGATCTCTCATATATATAGCTGAATTGCAATCAATGCTAATGAGTTATATTAGACCAAAGGTCTGGGGGATTAACTATCTAGGAGAGTAAAGGTCTAGGAGATAAACAACCTATAAATAAATAATCCTATTATAGTCCAAATACCCTCTTTGCAAGCGTATTTGCATTTTCCTTCTCTAACCTTCAAATAAGATACCAATCATTAAGCCTGTATTGGTTGAGTGTCACATGAATGTATAAAGTCTGACATAAGACTTGATGTTTCCTTAGAAGTTCCATTTACTTGGGAGTTAGGATGTATAAAGTCTGACATAAATCTAGGTACTCCAGTAAACTGTTTAAGTTAGCTAAACAGGGATCATTTAATTAGAGGACATTGAAGCTGTTTCACAGCGCAACTACTTCCAAGAATTAAACTCCAGGTTGTATGCCATGATTAAAAGTGGTAACATCAATATATAGTGGGGAAAAGAATTAAAATCCTGTGTGATTGATATGACCATATATTTTGCACTTGTTCTTCACAATTAGAAATGTGCAGTGATGATTATTGATGTTCGTATGACTCCTGCATATGTATGGTTTCTATACTATGATTATTGCTCCTGGCTGTCGTTACCTGACCTGCATCTGTATATGGTTTCTATACTATGGTTTCCCGGAGCCAATCCCCTAGCGGTCCTGCCACCACGCCGCAGAACAGGAGCTCAGTTCGTGTTTCTCAGTAAAGAGGGAAGTGTACAGGAATTTTTTTTATAAGTTAGCAGGAACAAATGTGTAAGTTTGTTTTAGTTAGGGGATATCAAAAATCCTTTTTTGCCGGGCCAACCAAATTAACTGGAACTCTAATCACAGACTCCTTCAGAATTTCCTCATCGCACCTGCTGGACTGCATAATGAACTAGTTACAGACTCCTTCAGAATTTCCTTTGGCACTTGGCATTATAAAAGTTGTGCAACCTGTGGAAATCATTAAAAAAATGCATTTTTTAAGGAAAAAAAAGCGTTTTTGATGCATCTACTTAATTTCATGATACTGTCGATAGGTTGATCTACTGTCACGAAGCATGTTTTGGTTTTGAGTTGTTTTGATCTGTCAAACATTATTTTTCAACCAATAGGAATAAGGGAACATAATTTTATTTTGTAATCATAGTTTCTTTGATTGCAGGATTTGGAATCGGTAACGAGTAACTCTTAAAGCCTAAATTTGTACGATCTCTTACCAATTTGCAGTTAGGCCTAAGCGGAGTTCAATTTTTCTTTTCGTTCCTGCCACCGGAGGTAGATACTATGCCATGGAAGATATATCATCTTCAGCAAGTTATCCTTTCTCTTTTCACAAAAATGTGCAAAAAAAAAAAGGTGTAACAAGAAAATTTGTCATGATAAGTTATGCTGAAATATTGAGCATAATGGGAATACACGCTTTTGAGCATTATGGGACTGGAGAGTGCTATCTTTCTGTAGGTCCTACCGCTTGTTTTACAAGTTGTGGCACCTATGTTGATAGCTTTGGCCAAGGATCAAACTCACGTGAGCAGCACACACTCACAGAGCAGTAAACACACTCACAGAGAAGCTCACTCAGGGAGGGATCTACAGTATTAGCGTTGGTGTCAGGCGACAACGATGACTTTTAGCAAAACCTATGATTAAACTTCTTATCCAATATATTATAATGCTATAGCCGCCTAAGTATAATTAGTATGGTAGGACACCGATATACACATCTGCCACTGCTCACTGGAGTACACAGAAGTGCACATGCGCGCAGCGCGCACACAAGTTTTTCTCGGCAACTAATTCCTTTCCTTTTTCTCTGTAGCTCTCTCTTCGCTCAGAAACGAACACTTACAGAATGCTTATAAAGACCCAGGCATCGACGTGACATACACGCCGGCCAAAGTCGTGGTGGCCGAGTCTCTCGCACACGGCCGCACGATCCACACATGCATAGCCACTAAGCAGGGCCGTACATTAGCATGTGCGGGAGTGTGCGACTATTCAAGGCCCCCCAAATTAATTTTAATTGCATGGAGCACTAAGTCTATTTAATTAGTGGTATAAATAGAATGCTTAAGCCTGCAAAAGGTCAGGACTATGACACAAAACTAAAAGTAGAAGAGCATAATAGTTGTAACTAGAAATAGTTGGCCATCATTTTGTCTCCCCTGTTGTTCTATGAATCATATCACATTGATCGCGATAACAGGACCGTGAGAATTTACATGTAAAATTCGTAAAATTTTAGGGTTCTATCATGCATTTCGCACTGGGGCCTCCAGTTCGTAGCTATACGTCCCTGTACTAAGTCAAAAGGCCTCCTGTCCAACAACTTGAAGACTTATTCTCCTATAAGACAAGCAACACATGTATGTGCTAAGTGCTAACTAACTAGCTAACTACTTGGCTCATGTATGCAGTACGTTTCTAACTGCGTAATCAACGTGAACACTTCACGTTCAATCTCCTGCCACATGACACGTCTAACACATGACGTGATCCCTATATGCAAGACTCAAAACATGTACAAGTCATGATTAGGCTAACATATGTATTTTCTAAAAGGACCATCTGCATGTACTCATCCGACATATGCATGTTTATGAGATGTAATTATTGATGCTAGTAAAACTTTTACTACATCGTGGATTGGCGATTTTCATGCTCTATCTACAGTGGCTTTCCAGATTGCAGCGTACGGTTAGCCTAACTGTTGTCGTCACTATCATGCTTTTAAGAGTTGTTGTCTTTATTGACGCGATACTACTACACAATGCCCATAGGAATGAAAAATTTACAGGTTCAATCACACACGAGTGATAAAATTACTCACAAATGAATCAAATTAGAAAAATAAAAATGGTCTAGAAAAAATCCACCGTGAAGCTGAGATCATGGTAGCTTTGCTGGATCTTGCAACAAAGATGGGGAGGTTGGTATGTGGTGGAGAGGGCAACCAGGATGTTTTTCTTTTGCTCATCATCTCTATGACATAAACAAGAATGTTTTTGCATATTTTTTTTCTGTTTGCTAGATGATGGATGGTTGCTAATGCACATCGCCAAGCTCATCTCTATACCACGCCGCTACATCCTTCTATGATTTTATCGCTGACTGTCGCTCGCCACCCGGTTGCCCTCTCCACCATCTGTCATAAGACACAGATCAACCTCTACATCCTTATCACAAGATCTAGCAAAGCCATCAGGACCCCAACTTCATGATGGTTTTTTTTTGCTAGACCATTTTGTTCTTTTCTAGTTTGATTCACCTGTGAGTAATTTTATCACTCGTGTGTGATTGAGCCTGTAAATTTTTTACTTATTTGTTCATTTTGTTATTCATATTAACAATACTCTTACTATCAGTTTTTACTCCTATATTATTACTACATGGTGGCTACTAGACCATAGGCTAAATTAAGAGGAAGGTGGTAATTATTTTACGTGCAGACTATAAAGTCTAAATATTTATAGAGATAATCCCTTTTATGCCATTGAAAATCTGTCTGATCCCTTATATGCCACTGAAAATTGGCTCTTCCCTTATATGCAATTGGTCCGAATTTGCGCACTCTCTCATGCCACTCCCGTCGGTTGACCGTGTGTTGACCGTTAACTCTTAAGTAAAAAAGACATATTTGCCCTCTCTGAGTTGTTAGCCATGCCCGGCCTATACTCAGTGGCATATAAGGGATTCTCTCTTATTTATAACACTGGTAAAAGAATTACTAGCGTTGTAAGCTGGTAGTATTTTTTTTATGACCATCTAGGAATAGTGCCGAACGATGCGGGGGCATTCATGCAAGTAAATTTGTTACTTTTGAAGGGGGCATTTATGTGAGTAAATTTGTTACTTTTGAAGGTGCAGAGGTGGGATACTGGGAATAAATGGAAAACTCAGTAGAGTAAATTGTTAGATTTAATTGGGTAATTGATCCATTTAAATCAATTAAATCAAATAAATTCCAAGGCTCATTATGCTAGGAATTCATGTGAATTCATTCTTCTATGGGATATCAATGGGATGAAGAGTTTTGAGAATTAATCCATTTGATTAAGGAATTGGTAACTTATATCAATTAGTCCTAATTGATGGATGGTTGATGGTTGTGTAGTGGAGGATGGTTCATGGCTAGTTGATGACAATTAGTTGCTCTATTCCTCTTCCTATTCCATTGGTAACTTACATCAATTACTCTTAATTGATTGTTGGTTGATGGTTGTGTAGTGGAGGATGGTTCATGGCTAGTTGATGACAATTAGTTGCTCTATTCCTCTTCCTATTCCATTGGTAACTTACATCAATTACTCTTAATTGATTGTTGGTTGATGGTTGTGTAGTGGAGGATGGTTCATGGCTAGTTGATGACAATTAGTTGCTCCATTCCTCTTCCTATTCCATGACTCTTACTCTTCATCTTCCATTCCTCTTATAAAATGAGAATGGATTTGATCTCCCGCGAGAAGAAGAAGACACACTTTCATCCATTTTCCAAAGCTGTTGCTGCTACGGTAATCCCATCCCGACGAGTGTGTGCACACGCGTTGGGAGAGTAGGCCTCCGAAACCACGCGTTGCTGCGACGTTTGCACAGACGGGCGGGCGATCAGGTTTTTGGGGAGCGCAAGGCGCGACTACTCACTGTTCGTCAACATCTACTTCATCTTCACCAACATGTCGAACACTGGAGACAAGGAGAAGGAGACTCCCGTCAACACCAACGGAGGCAATACTGCCTCAAATTCCAGTGGAGGACCATTCTTGGGGTATAACCTTATTACATTATTTCAATTAGAAGTTTTACTGTTAATGTTCATCGCAATGTCAACATTGTGTCATTATGTGATTGTTGATGCTTATTCAACGTTAAGCATGCTCATGTTGATTACATTCACCACTATCACTGGATCAAATCCTATTGTAAATATCATGTTTATTATCTTGTTATTTTGGATTAAAATATGCCGAATTATGACCAAATTTCCAACATAAATTTCTTACTTTTGAAACTTGAAGAGACAGTAGAAAAACTAGATGGTAAATATTTTACTAAAATAAGAATACATAAAAAATCTGGAGAGAAGGAACGAGAAAATGAGAAAATATGGATGGTTAATATTTTATCAGCTCTTTTAATGAAGCATAACAAATCTGGAGAGAAGGAACGAGAAAATGAGAAAATATGGATGGTTAATATTTTATCAGCTCTTTTAATGAAGCATAGATGAGATGGAAAAGAGAAAAAAGAAACACGGAAGGTGGGGGTGAAAAAAAGAAAAAAAACGGACGAAGGAAAGGTGGATTGCGGCGGAAAGGTTGGGTGGTAAAACAACGGGAAAACCGGACGGAGGGAATGTTGTGCGCGCTCGAACTAGCATTCGGTGCGCAGCATGCGTATTAGCACCACTGATAAGTTTAACAAATTAAAAATAATAAGAATGATTTATAAGTACATATAACAAACATGCCATTATTATTTAATACTCAGTAACGCCATATAAAAAAATAGCACATTAAGCAATTCATGTTCCATAAACAATTTAGTGCATAATGCATCATTATAAAAAATATATAATTAAACAGTTAATGACATACCTCTGGTTTTATAATTATTGATGGTTTAGATAAAGTTGAGATCAAACTTTTGTAACTTTGATCATCGATAACTTTTAAAATATAGTTTAAAGGTATTAACACTACATATATATAACTTTTAAAAAACAGTAAAAATATTTTTATCCATTATATATATTATGATTAGATGACATGGTCAAAAGATATATTTCGAGGAAGTATAGCACTGACCAACTATAAATACCACCTCGCTCATCAGACTCCAAACAACTCACACAGCTCGCACTTTCCTAGCCCACTAGCCATCATGGAGAAGAAGCGGGTGGTCATCGTCGGCGCCGGCGTGAGCGGCCTGGCCGCGTGCAAGCAACTGCTGGAGCGCGGCTGCCGGCCGGTGGTGTTCGAGGCGGACACCGGCGTGGGTGGCGTGTGGGCGTGGACGCTGGAGGGCACCGCGCTGCAGACTCCGCGGCCCATGTACCAGTACTCCGACTTCCCGTGGCCGGAGACGGTGACGGAGGTGTTCCCGGACCACCGCCAGGTGATGGACTACCTCGGCGCCTACGCGCGCCGCTTCGGGGTGCTCGACTGCGTCAGGTTCGGCCACCGGGTGGCGGGGATGGAGTACGTCGGCGTCGGCAAGGAGGATGTGGCGGCGTGGGATGAGTGGGCCGGGAATGGCGACGCTTTTGGCTCCGGCTCCGGCGAGTGGCGGCTGGAGGTGGCCGACGGTGAGGGCCATCTTGAGGTGAGAATTTCGCTACGGCTTTGCGTGGAGGAAGTTTCCAAATTTGCTGGAAAAAAATAATTTATAAGTAAAACCTTATGCATGTGTCATTAACAATTTAAAAGCAAATAATAAAAATCTTAATCTTAACTAATTAAAATATTCGTAATTTTCTGTTCGTCGCAAGTCCGTCGGCGGTGCGCCTTCGCAGCCCCCGAATCCGAATTGGATAAGGAAAACACTTTCCAAAATCGGCACAACCGAATCAGATGCACACACCGCAAGGAAAAGAACAAAACCTAACCAATCTTTGCCCCCAAAAAATCAACCACAATCATCACAAAATCACAAAATAATCATCCAAGAAGAACAACAATATACACCACAAACTTCACTCGCCTGCCACCGGATCCGCCCTCGGCCATCGCCACCGTGGCCCTCGGCCGTTGCCACCGCTGCCCTCGGCCGTTGCTACCGCCACTGGGTCCATCCGCGGCCGCCGCCGACACCACCACCGCCGCCGGAGGGAGAAGAGAGGCGGCGGAGGGAGCCGCCGCTACCGGATCTGCCCACCGCCACTGTTAATGGATCCACCCGCGGACGCCGCCAACGCCGCCACCACCGTCGGATCGACCGCGGGACTTGGCGAGAGGGGGCGGAGGGAGCCACCGCCGCTTGATCCGCCTGCGGAGGCCGCCGCCGCCGGCGGATCTGCCACAGGAGGAAGGCTAGAGGGGATGGAGGGAGCCGCCGCCACCACCCTCGGATTCGCCCGCGACCGCCGTCAACCCGCGCCACCGCGGGAGGGAGGCGAGGAGGAGAGGAGGAGGGAGCGAGGAGGCGAGACAGGACAAAGGGAGCGGCCGCCGGCGAGGAAAGCGAGACAGGTCGGAGGGAGCCGCCGCCGCCGCTCGCGGGGAGAGGGGGAAGGGCACCGCCGCAGCCGCTCGTGGTAGGGAGGAGGGCGGGCGCCGGAACCGCCGCCATCGCTTTTCGATCAAGAGAGAGAGAAGGGATCGTGGGCGCGGAGGGTGGAATGAATTTTAGGGTTATGGTTTTGGCTACAGATATTTATCTTGGCTGGGATCAATCTGGACCGTCCATTCGATCGGACGGCTGCGTCTTCTCCCGCATCGGGCCACCGGACTGTTGGGCCTCTAAATGAGCCGCAATTAAAATCAATGTTTTCTCTCTTAGTAATTTTAAGCATCTTTCTATTATCAGAAATAGCATTAATACCATTTTTTTTGCGAGGGACATTAATACCATTTTAATTGTTTATGACTGCTTATTAATTTAATTCCAACTAAATTGAATAAACTAAAATTTTGGATAGATTTTTCTCATGATATGGATTTATTTGTCGACTAAAAATGTAAATATTTATTTGTCATGATATAGAATTTAAATGTAGACTAAAATTAAATAATATTAATTATTTTTTAATTTTATATGGACTCTATTCTTCTTCCAATATTCCTATTTTTTATTGTTCTAATTAGTTTTCTATATGGACTCTAAACTCTTCTTTCAATATTTTTTTATTTTGAATTTTAATTCTTTTTCTAAATTATATTCCTATATGCACTCTAGGCTCTTTTGGAGAATATTCTAGACTCCTCATCCAATATTATTTAATTTATAATTTATACTTTATATTAAGTTGTATTATTTATATAGATAGATTAATTTATTCAGTTTAGTTTTTTTTTTGGCAAAAGATTTGTTTTATGCATATATCCAATTGGATAGCGTGATTTTTTTAAAAAAAACAAAATGAATGAGTCATTGTGATGGGGAATAGGTCCCGATGTTCCGATAGGTATTGATAAACAGTCGATTTGGGCGGAGTCGTGACACAACTCGATCCGGCTTTTGAACGAACACGCTACTGAGCCCCGCAATCACAGCATCACATCTCCTCTGGTTATCAACCGTGCCAAAACTCGGTTGACCTCGCCGAGAAGGCTAATTCCTGCATGCGAATCGAAGAACACAAGCAAAAGCAAGATAGATTGCAACCAAATTGCATATGAATGATTAAGCATTCGAATTTGGGGTTCCACAAACTGATCTAGCGGCGAAACTGTTCTTGACAGATTAATCTAAGCAAACCTAACTCTAAACGATGACAGCTACTGAATAAATATGATTAGGGACGTCCTAGGTTTGCCCTAGGGCGCACACCCCCTTGGGTTAAGCCCACGACATAATTACAAGACCCAAAACTCAAATCAGATTCAAACTGGATAAGATACGTGGCTTTGTTTTGTAGATTTCCGACAGCTCGGTAGGAATTTTGACGTGGAACCAAAACCATTTGAAAGTAGACTCCATAAGATTTCCAACAAGTACTCATGGCCCCGAAATTCCTTCTAGATCAGAGACTAGGTCCGTTTGAAGTTGATGCTGTCAGGAGGCCCGAATCCGAATCCAAAACGTGTAGAACTTTATCTCTTGTCTTCTATGGACCAAAAGTGATGTGGTGAGATGGAAGTGGACTTGAGAAAATCTTGGTTTGGTCCCCAATCAACTTCTTTAATCATCCATGCATTCATTACGCTCGGTCTCTTTTCTTTCACCCAAGCAAGTACCTCTGCAAACGAAAACACACGAAACACATTATGTAGCAACGCTTGTTCAAATATATAACAAGTAAATCTAATATAGAACATATGCACCTTTGATTAATTAATACATAAGTTAATCATGGTTATATCCAAGCTAGTTTGTGTCCTCATCACATTGTCTACAATGAGTTCTCCTCATTTTTTATATTTTACTCCAACTAATATGAGAAATCTAGACCATAAGAGATAACGTGGATGCTTCTTTTTCTGTTACTTTACTAAGTTAATAACATTAGTTTTTCATGTTGCAACGCACTATTGAATAATAATTTATTATTAGCTACTATATTACTCTCTATCATTTGAGACTTTTTCTAACGAGCAAAAGTACCAAAGCAGTGTGAAAGTAACTTCGGTTAAAAATAAAATATTTTTAGTTTTAATACACCGTAGCGAAAAGACACTTTCTAGTTAACTATGATAAAATCTTAAAAAGTCAAACTATGGGAAGGGTATGGTCAGCTGGTTCCGAAAGAGGCAACCTTGTGGCGCGCAGGGGCGGATCACTTTCTAGCGCGAGACATCCAATCGCCCAGTCCCATCATCCATGCCGATCGAGAGATAGCCATTGGCTAATGTGTTTCTTTCTTTTTGTTTTGCCTTTCTATTTTTTACATAAAATTAAATTTATAAAATTCATATCCAAAAGTCTTTATTCTCAACTATATATACTTTCGTATCACATATATAAGTAATATTGCAATTCTTGGTTAAAATAGGCACCGTGTTTTGAAAGAAAGGGAGTACAATATAATTCATCATAGTTTCCTTATCCCTAAATTAAGTGACATTTGACACTCGAATTTCTCATATTCCAGACACACACTGCGGATTTTGTCATTCTTTGTGTTGGGAAGTACAGTGGAGTGCCCAACATACCAACATTTCCTGCATGCAAAGGTCCAGAAGCATTTGATGGCCAGGTGATCCACTCCATGGATTACTCCAAGATGGGCACCAAGAATTGTAAGGAAATGATCAAGGGCAAGCGTGTCACGATCGTTGGCTACCTCAAATCAGCACTTGACATTGCTGCAGAATGTGCAGAAGTAAATGGTACTGACAAATTAACAATCTGATTTCCATCAACCAATTTTTCAGTATTCTTTTCCCTTGTTAGATGCTGAATTAGAATTTCCCCACTTATTAAGTGTTTCTTCTTCGTGTAGGTACTGAGATTCCATGTACAATGGTGGTCCGAACAAAGCATTGGATCATACCAGACTATTATGCGTGGGGCGTCCCCATCTCAAAGCTGTATCTTAATCGGTTTTCTGAGCTTATTATTCACAAGCCTGGTGAAGGCTTACTCCTTAGCATCTTGGCCACCCTCTTGACTCCATTGGTATGGATATTCTGTTTTAATTATATTGCTAAAATATACTTTCTCTGGTTAAATTGAAGCAAGACTGATCCATGCATGTTTTCCTTCTTTGCACATGTTCAGAGGTGGATATTTTCGAAGTTTGCAGAAAGCTATTATTCCATTCCAATGAAGAAGTATGGCATGGTGCCTGACCATAGCCTATTTGAAGCTTTGATTACATGCTTGATTGCCATTACACCCAAAGACCATTACAAGAGATTAGAAGAAGGCAGCATCGTTCTCAAGAAATCAAAGACATTTAGCTTTTGCAATGAAGGTGTGCTTGTTGAAGGCGAATCTTCGCCGATAAAGAGCGATATAGTGATCTTTGGAACTGGATTCAGAGGGGGACAGAAGATCAAGGAGATGTTCACTTCTGAATACTTTCAGAGCATTGCAGTAGGCTCTGCATCTACAACTATACCTCTCTACAGGTCAACTCAATAACTGTTTCTTGCAAGGAGCAAAAATTTAATTTGTACAATTTCCAATTTCTATCCAGGACTGTGTCGTAGTTAATTAATTTGCTGCATGATTTCTCACAGGGAGATCATTCACCCTAAGATCCCGCAGCTGGCGGTTATCGGCTATTCAGAAAGCTTGGCAAACCTGTACACATCAGAATTAAGGGCCAAGTGGCTCGCACATTTCATGGATGGTGGCTTCAGGTTGCCAAGCATCAGTGTGATGCAGAATGATGTCCAGGAATGGGAGAAGTTCATGAAGCGCTATTCTCGTGCTTACTTTCGCAGATCCTGCATCGGATTCCTTCACATCTGGTACAATGATAAGCTATGCCGGGACATGGGGTGCAACCCGAGGAGGAAGAATGGATTTTGGGCTGATTTATTCGACGTTCATGGCCCTGTTGATTATATTGATCTTCACCCCAAGAAAGAGTAGTACTTTGGGCTCGGAGTCGTGTGGAATAATTTTATCGTCTGATCATGCTTGTTTTAAGATTATTACTACCTGCTTTCTTGGATTTCTGTTGTTTTGCATAGTGCAAATTCAGTAAACCGTGTTTAGGGGAGGATGAAAATTAAACTCGTTACTTGTTAGCTCGCTCAATTCGTGGCTGACTCGGCTAGGTTCGACTCAACTCGTTACATCTATCTATCTATTATCTATCTATTCTATTATATATACTAAAAGTCCATGAAACTTCCTACAAACGCTCCTATGCCGTCAAGTGGCACTCCTACAAACGCTCATAAGCCACCACGTGGCATCCTAATATTAAGGAAATTAATAAATAAATTAGAAAAAAATCATAGAAATTTTAAGGAAAAAGAAAAATTTCCAATCCACGTATTTATGTCTTAGCTAGGCCTGCAGTTTATCACGTTTCCGTATCGATCCGAGACTCTCAACAGATTGGAAAGAGGAGCTGCGATTAATCTCCGTGCATCGCTTGAATAATACGAGTACAGCTCACTAGGTGCTAACTGTCAGGAAAGGAGCCATCGATCATCATGATGCCCCCTTCCTATCGAGTTGTTGTGATGCCCCTTCCGTTCGATCTAGGTAAATCCATGAGACTAATTGCATTGTTTAGTCCCTTCTCTAAGTAATTAGTGAATCGTAATAGAGATTTGATTCGTCTGAGTGGCCACGAGGCATCTGCATTCTAATTCGATTGATGCCATCATCATTGCAGTCGAAATAATTAACAGCGGTGAATGAGATTGGAACACATAGGTGCTCTCAGAATTATGTGCGGTAGCATATGTAATGTAGATCTTTTGGGTCTGTATATAATATACGTCTACAAGGCTCCATCGTTTCACTTATTTGAGAAATAAGCGAAACAATAAATTTGTAAATTAAAAATAATTTATAAATAAAACTTTTATATACGTGTTCTTAGTGATCTAAAAACAAACGCTGAAAAATAAATTTAGATGAAAAAACTCCAAAATCAACTCCAAATTTAAGATTAAAAATTCAAATTAAAACTTTTATATACGTGTTCTTAGTGATCTAAAAGCAAAAGCTGAAAAATAAATTTATATGAAAAAACTCCAAAATCAACTCCAAATTTAAGATTGAAAATTCAAATTTTGGCTAATAAGATGCTTAAGCAAAAAAGATGAGGCCGGTAAGCAGTCAATCGTGGCATCGATCTGCATCCGTTAATTGAGCAGGAAGCTTCATGTGAAAATTAAACTCAGCCTCACAATGCTTAGCGAGACAACATCCCATCATCCATCTAAAAGCAAATTCCATATTTCTTCTCCCTAGGTGATTTGTAGATACGACATAAGTTTTGCAGAGATGATACAATACCAATATCCTTCATTAATGACATATTTTTGAAACAAAGATCATAATCGTTTTTGCAGTTATACAATTATAAAAAAACATTAATTAATTTAATATGGTTCAGTATAGTTTGTTCACATTATTTTTACTTTTCTCTTTGATGCTAAACTAACAATCACCTCCTCGTAACATTACAGGTTTTCTAAAGATGTTTATGCATATTTTGAGTTATTTGTTCCCATAACAATGGTACTTTTGAAATTTTGATCTTCGGGACGAAGGTATATTATCTTATTCGCTAAGCCAATTAATTTGGCATGTTTTTCTTCCTGCAGTATTTTGAAGGTTATTATAGCTTATCTTTATAAAGTATTACATCCAGATTTCCTTTACTGTTATAACTCTAAAGATTGAAGAAAAAGTGATAACATGAGAATAGCTAGCTAATGAAATTAATTTTAAAGCATACAACTCTTAAATTTTTTTATTTGAATTAATGACCCATATTTTAAACAAATTTGCATTGTTGGATGGTAGGGAGTGTTAACTAATTATTTGCGTAGAGCACCTGACCCTGTTTTTTCACATGTCCATATGCGCGGGCAGCACAATTTGTGTGCACATTGACCACCCTAAATTCATGAGCATACTTGCTAAATATTTGATCGAGCTTTAAATAACCATATTTAAACCCTTGATTTTGGATAGTTCAAATATCCATATTAAGTATGTTCTTACAAGTAAAATATTATGTCGCTACAACTAAATCAATAGTTCACGTATCCACATTATTATAAACATGCAAGGCCAAATTAATCTACATAGGTACAAACAAACCAAATAAATCCATCTATAAATGGTGCTCTTCAGCTCTTGATACTTTCTATCATCTTTATCCTATAATGTAAGGGATCATGCTATTTTAGGAGGAATTAAGGGGAGGAAAAAAAATTATGACAACTCTCATTAAATAAAGGATACATAGAGAGTGGGATGGCGGTTGAGATAAAATTGGATAAAAAATAAAGATGGTTGAGGTAAGATTAGGAACAAAATAAATGAGGGGTGGTTCGATGGGACAGTTAGTACTTTACAACCTTTATATTTTGGGATATGACTTGAATCGTCGGAATTATGAGACGGAGAAAGTAGAAGTAAATAGAGGTATATCTATAGTTAGATGAAACAGTCTCTTAGCCATATTTTTAATAGAAAATATCTTCAATTAATATGCCCTAAAATCTGTAAAGACATATATAGCATACAATAAAATTTTACCTTAATTAAAGTTTAGAAAATCCAAAAATAAGATGTGCTAAATATTTTAAAAAGTAAATACACATAATACAAATGATATATAATTTCATGGTAACCAACTCCATTCTTATGACACAATATTCTTTTATAAATTTCGATTTTCAAGTAAGTTTAGTTTAGACTTTATTTGCTTTAAGGGTAATTAGAAGGGAATCAAAACCAGCATTCAAAGCAATCCAAAATGAATTGTTGGCAAAAAAGAACAGATTTAGAATTGAGTAAAAAATATTTCAGTAAAAAGTCACTCAAACATTTGTATTATTACAAACACATTAAATAGGTGCCCGCGCATATGCGCTGGCTAACTTCCTAGTTGAAAATAATGGGAATATCGGGCTATCGGTTTTTGAGCATTATGGGACTGGTTTTTGATCGAGTGCTTTCCATAGACTGCTTGTATTACAAGTTGTGCCACCTATGTATTTTCTAAAAGGACCATCTGGTGCTATCCTCCTTCAACATGCATGTTTATGAGCTGTCATTATTGATGTTAGTAAATTTTTTACTACATCGTGGATTGGCGATTTTCATGGTTTATCTAAAGTGGCTTTCCAGATTGCACCGTTGTCATCACTATCATGCTTTTAAGAGTTGTTGTCTTCATTGTATTCATAACTATTTCCAGCATAATCGCATAACAGGAGCTTTGGATTGTCATCTTCTGGCAGGGTATGTATTTTCCAAGCCTCCATAACATGTGAAGTTGAATGAGAAGTAGGTTCTCGTGGAGGTGTATACAAGTAGCAGAGTTTGGATTCCCGGACAACTTTTTTACCATGTAACGCCGCAACAAGCTTAGATGATTTTATATAGGGAAAGTTATAATTAGGATGACAAGCTTTAACAGAAAACTTTATACATATGGAAAAGGAACGATTTGGTTTTACTATTATTACATGGATCTTGTAATTGTTTCAGAATTGGAGAGTTCTTTTGCTTCAAGGTTTGCATCTTGTTTTTGCTCAACTGGCACTGTCAGACTGTGACTGTCTCCAATCTCATGGAGCTGCTCTGTTGCCTCTGTTTTGGACTTTTGGTTAGAACGGTTACTGTGTCTCAAGGGCTCTGTTTTGGGAACCAGGATTTTTCTCGATTCATGCCATAACTGAACTATTCGGTACTATACCTCCGATCCAAAATATAAATTTTAGCTATGTATTTGCATTGTCAAGATCTCTTATATTTTGGGATGGGGGTAGTATTTCGGTATGAATTCAGGCATTCTGGACATGACCTAACACCTGGATGGCTGGATCCTTGTTAAGACAGCAAGATTTGAAAGCTCTGTATGTCTTCTGATATCTGAACCTGAAAATGGTAATTATCTGATTGCTACTGGCAACTGTTCATGCATGCTGGAACGTTGAGTAGGTCCCAAGATGGCTCGTGTTCAGACAACAGCATGGAAAGGCTGGGTGATTTAGGTCAAAAGTATGGCCATTGCCCTATCACCACAAGAAAGCTCAGCCAGTTTTCTGAAGGTGCACGTATCTGTTAGTAGCATAATTTTGGCTTATGGTTCGGTCATTTTAGACAGGCCAATTTATGTAGAATAACCAGTATAATTGCCTAATAATTTGCTGAAGAAAATAACCTTAATTTCTATGTGCAGGAGTTAATGTATTCGGGAGATGATGTGTGCAAATTTTGGGTGCGTGACAAGAGCGAATTTATGGTTGGGGCTTGTTGGGGCTAAAGCCCCAGCTCCAACCGGACAGAGCATAGTAGCAGAATATTAGCAGAGCACTAGGCCATAAGCTGGAGCAGCAGTTTGCAGAACAAGAGCTGCCACTTTGGTGCCACTTCGGTGCCTTCCTATCCTAGGCCGTAGGCCATGGTAATCTAGGAAATCAAAATTTCAGATTTTAGGACGACTAATTTATTTTATTTTTATCAAGAACACAAATCATTTTTCCATTTTCTCTGGTTTGGTACTAATTTGATAATTTGTGAGCATTAGACTATAGCAAAAATTATCTTGTGTTAAGCAGTATACCTAAGAGCACCACCTCTCTTTTCATTCTAGATTCGTCACTGGTGCGTGAAGATGGTTTGCAAGCACATGGGTGAGAGAAGTTATAATTTTCAATCCAGTATAGATGCATGAAGGTAGCTGTGAAGATGGAGTAGCATTGCTGTTCGTATATTATATATACACAGCAGTGGTGGAAGGCTGATGGCCGTGTTGTGCTGGGTTTTTAGCTGCACGGGATTGCAGAGAGGGACAGAGCTGAATTATGTGCAGAGAAAGATTGCTGTTGAGCTATCTACGGGAGGAGGACCGAGGTAAAGTGCGATGCGGGCGGGTGTGTTGTGTCACCCGTGTGTTCACAGTAAAGGAGATTAATCCAGTCTCATAGCGCGCGAGTTGGAACAAAGGAAATTAATCTGAGTAATAATCTTTTCGGTTAATTTGAGTCGTAGTCGGTTAGCCGTGTTGCGTGGAGTTTCCATGTAATTTTTATATAGTAC